GTGGTTATTGCTGGACTGAGCAGGAATGAGAAATCGTACCTTCAGCCGAGAAAAGCTGCAAGAGAATCGACAGTAATGGAGAGTACTAACATCCAAAAGCAATTGATAAACATCTGAGACTAAGTTCGACAACACTGCAAAGCAGCTCTGCCCTTCTCACCTTTCAAACAACTCTTAATATAGCAAATACAGGAATACCACACGAAGCGATCGTCGTCACATAGTTTAGTGGAAACAGCTTGCTCTTTTGAACCTGATTGATGAATCCAAAGTCTCACAATCGACGAGTTTGTAATCTGCGCATATCTCGCTTACACTTCATCTAAGTGAGGAAGGCAGTTGTTGCTCATTTTCCTGGTCTCTTAATTTGTTAATACACATCCATGATTCTAGTAAAGCTAAATTCTTGGACAAATAGTAATTTCCTCTTCTCCCTATTGAGTCCAGAAAAGTCATGGAGCCCAAATTCCACATTCCACCGTTCATATCCATCCACCTCTAACTTCCGCTCACTCACTAATTATTGACAATTCCGAAACTTCCCATATCATGTCTTTGAAAAATATATATTTGCGAAACACTCCCCTCATCTCTTAATCCCGCTGAAGATCAAATCTCCTACTTTGCTAAATTTGCCGTACAAAGAGGCATTTCCTTTTTCCAATCAAAGGACGAGAACTATCTTTTCGACAAATGAATCTCTTGGGGTGTTGGAAAGTTAGAATTAAAATTTCAACAACAAAAAGCACAAAATTGCCCGTAGAGTGACAGTAAAAAAGAAATAATCACAAAGGTGACAACCAAATCCCTCTCTCAGAAACTGGCGAGGTATAAGCATATCACTCCTCCATCACACCTCTGGGATTATTTTTCTTCGATTTCCAGTCTTGCTCCTCCATCTCTGCCAGATTCGCCTGGGACATTATCTCGACGAAGACGGCTAATCGATGGTTTCTTTTGGCTTTCGCCAGACTTGTCGCGATTTTCGTCTTTTCATCTTCCTCCATTTCTGTTGGTGATGGGTGAGGAGTTAGGTATACCTTGATACATGTGCTGCTCTGCAGGCCTTATATAGTCTATTCTAAATCGTATTAAAACTCTATTTATTCACTTATCTACCTCTTTTAACCCTACCACTTTGATGATTCACATCCCTCTCTCAGATTTTCTCATATCCCTTCCGCCCCCACTTCCTGAATGTGGATAGTGCCGTTACCTACACCCTCTAGCGTTTATATAAACTTACACTTCTACCTCTAATCAGACATGTTTAACAACCACTGAATTGTCGATGAAAATTCCATTCCACAAGGCAGATATATCAAGTATGGAAGCAGAATCTGCCAAGTTTATAAGGTCATATCCCTGAATTGACAAGATGGGTAGAGGTCAGAAACGGTAGAATTGATTAGAACTTAGTTGATAATATCGCGTACATACTGAAGAGTGAAAATAACGGATGGTGACAGTAAATAGGGGCTGTTGTTTATCATTTTTATGTGAAAGAAGGTATCGAAAGAGGGCTTTTCGACAGTCAGCAACCCTTATACACTAACTATTTCCGCAAATCTCCAGCTTTCTCACTTGGGCTATCTCCTCTAACTATCACCGCCATATCTCCACGTCTATTACAGAATAATATAAACCAAGTGGAACAACTAAGTACATTTCCGGCGCCCTTTCCCTAACCCAAACTCACATCTCTACTAGCCATAATTATCAACAACCATTCATATGAATTCCACCCAATTGAGAAAAAATAATAATGTGTGTCCTGAACTCCTCCATTGGAATCGCCTGCACCCATCGAGAAAAGCAAAATACCAGTCAAACCGAGATGAAGTTTATATATATCCTCAATCTCTTTTCCATGAGTTCAAGATCCCCAATACACTTAATCTCAGCCCCCTCTATATGCACAATCTCACATTCATTGTTCCGATATCAGGTATATCGTTAATTCTCCTCGCTTAACTCACTCCCCCCATCCACTCCTCGTCAAGACCCACTAATCTTACATCCTAAGCGATGTAAGCAATCCACTGAACCCTATATAAAGTCCTTCCCTCCAATAAGTTTTGTGATCATAGAGAATGAGAACGAAATATTCCCAACACCAGGAGTGACTTCTCGAAGGAGCGAGGCATTAAGGTAAATGAGGGATCTTTTTGCAGATAATGATTTCCGGCCATAAATTACAGAGGTGAAGCATAAGCAGATATACAAAGTCATGAAAGAATAATACAACGAAAATGACATCGACAATAAAAAACCAAGTACTTTTGTCATTACCCCATCTTAATGCAAGATTTCCAACATTAATATTGAAACCTCCTTCTTGAAATATCTTGACCCTCGATCTCCCCACCAAATCTACGACTTATAGCCCTATTCACATCAAAGCTCTCTTCCCCACACTCTCAACACTCGCACAAGTACCCAAATGATCCCTTGACACATATGTGATGACTCTTATTCAATTTCCCTAGGGGAAAGAAAAAAACAAGTAGATGACACATGGATTTTATTACGCCGCTGATCTAGAATAATTTCATAGGGGATTGATTCAATATTTCATAGCCAAAAATGAGCCGGGGAGGATTCATCACTTTACCGTGCATAACCATTCACATACCCCTCTCTCCTCACTAAGCACTCTACTCTCCTTTGCTATTCACCTCATTAACTCTTCTATGTACCTTGTTGACCCCCTGCAGATTCATCTCCCTCCATCATACGATTTTCCTCCCCTAACATGAATATCTCTCCCTCTCTCACTCATCACTCATCACTTTACCAACTTCTTCCCGTAGACACCGAGATGGATGACGTAAGACACTCTCTGCTCTCTACTCTGCTCCATTAATTCGCACATCCACAAGTAAACCCTTAAAACCTCTCCCGTCCTCATCTCATTACTCTCAATCTCATCATCAAAACTTCCTCCGATTGCATAATCATTACTATTATTACAAGAATCGACAGCAAAAGAACCTCAGATGATAACCCGAATCTCAAACAAAAACCTCGTTCTATAGCAATGAAGAACACAAAACAACAATTCTCAACCCCAAATCTCCACCCCCCTCAAAAATAACCAAACAATATCCCCCCTAAAACCAAATAACTCTCCCCCGCACACAAACAACAACACTCCCATGCATATCGCTCTCCCGCCAGTACCCCAATATATTCATCATCGATGCGTATCCAAGTTGTCCCCAACTAGCAAAAACTCCCAAGAGATCTACAGGTTTATATACACTCCCCCTCCTCTCTCCTTCCCTTCCTTTTAACTCTCCACCAAACTCCCGAACTCGGATATAGATCGGTAGTTCATCATTCACCCCTTTTTGAGATCATGCACTGTCTATCCCTTCCCCTTCCGCTCTATCTACTTCTTCCAAGGCCCCCGGCCACTTGAAGAAACATTACAAACCGACCAGCCATCCAATCCTCCCATCCAATTTAATCTCTTCACACCAAGCTCCTCGGATTTTCGATCTACTGAGATTTAGAATCCAACAGTTTTTAATATTTTTTTATAATTCTCAGAATCACAATCCGAGTAATTCACATATTTTCTTTCTCTAGAAATTCTCTTAGGTGTTTGATTCATTGTTGTCCTCATTCTTTCTCCTCTTTCCAAGGATTTTCATCTCCTTTCTCTTCCCATCTCAATTCACACCCCTCTTACCCCTCCCTTTTCACCACCCTCTTCCCCCCCCCCCTTTTTCTCCCCCTCCACCATATAAACACCCTCACCTCCTCACCTCCCCATCACCCCGATCTCCAAACACACAACAATCCAGACAATAAACGAGAACATTCCAGGGTCAACCCCCCCCCCCCCCCATCCCCTCTCAGTGTTCTCCATTCATATTCCCCTTTCCCTTGTAATCCCCATCCCAATCCGTGAATGAAATACTGAGCGTTCCAATTTTCCCTTCCCTTTCCCTTTCATTTCCATTTCCATCTCAATCATCCGATCTATCTATTACCTACCTAGCTACCTATACATTCTCTGACAATATCTCAATATCCCAAATCTCAACATCTCAATATCTCAATATCCCAACATCTCACATCTCAATATCTAATATCCCAACATCCTCAACATCTTCATATCCAACATCTCAAACATCTACCATCTCACATCTACCATCTCATTCATCTACCATCTCCCTCTACCATCTACCATCTCCCATGCTTACCATCTCATCATCATCTCAACATCTCCCATCTACCATCCCATTCTTCTTCCTGATCATTAATCAGTTCCCCACCACATCCCCACCATAAAAATAAAAGGTTCAATGACAAACCCAGAATATATCCAAAAACAAATCCAAAAATCATCACAAACATCATCACAACATAATCCTCAACTCAAACCTCACATCTCACCTCCCTACATCTTCACCACACACTACCACATCTCTACACCCGTGTAAACAAAAACAATGTAAATTCATCTCCATCTTGATCTTCAAGCCCCAGTATCGTAGTTTTCAGAATTGGAAAAGGTTAGATTGAATAGCTATGGATTTAGCTATCTAGCTATCTAGCAATGGGATTGTGAAAATGTATAAATGTACAAATACTGAATAAAACATCGATATATAGCAAAAAACTAGATTATAGCTAGCGAATTTATTCCTCCTACCTTTCCTTTCAGTTCGAGGTAGGTAGGTATGCTTGATACAAACTTTGAGTATCCACGCATATACCTACAAGCAGATAGCACTAGCACTAGCACTAGCACTAGCACCGCCTTTGACAAATGACCTCTACATAGCCATCATATCTTTATCTCACTCCATTCTCAACCCCTTCCCTTCCCAACTCCACCCCTCAATTGTTCAACTCCACCCCTCAATTGTTCAACTCCTAACCCCCAAAACACACAATCTTCCTCCCACTCTCTCCCCCCTAGCATCCCCCACCCACCCAAAACACAAACTAACTCTCAACCCCACCATTCTACCACTCCAACATCTTCACCTCTTCAACTCCATCTGGCAAAGCTCCTCCGTCCCTCTCCCTAATAATTCCTTCCATGCTTTCTCACTCCAGACTAATTTCTCTCCGTTTATCATTCCAGTCTCATCGACTAATGTCGTAATGACTTTCGGATTCATGATAAGTTGTAGACGCTTCGAGCAGTGCGGACATTCGAGACTGGGGGTGGGTGAGTAGAGTTGTATACCGCAGCTGCGTATAGTGGCGATTAGTAAGAATCTTCATCGCGATCCAGAGTACAAGAAAAGACAAAACTGCAAAGAAAAGAAAAAAGAAAACAAAACCATTCCCCACAAAACAACATGTTCCTCCTCCAAATCCTCACCAAGCTCAATTCCACCAACACAACACTAATCCACCCTGTGAAAACCTCTCCTTCTCCACCTCTAACCCACTCCTCCCACATCCTTCATGCCAAATAATGCCGTTCTAGGTCCATAAATCGCTTCCTCAATATCTTCCTCCCCCCAAACTTCACCTTGGAAATTCTACTCCTATTACTCTCTTTCCTCATCAATCCATTTGCCCATTTCCTCAACCAGTTCGCATCTGCAAATTCCGGTTCCACATCTACCATTGTATTTATTCCCCAACGATTATTCTTTTGCCTCCATAATCAAGCTTATGCATTGGATAGAAACGAGTAGGATAGTTTTTCCTGGTATCCATTCTTTCACACTCTCGATCAAATCCGACCAACATTTCATTTTTGTTCGCCAGTATGGTCGAAGAGTATCACTTCAATAAGATCTGATTCCCCTCCATCTTTTTTGACAATCTTCTTCTTGGCTCCGATTACTCTTTACACCAAACGAGTAATTTCACATCTAGAACTCCATCATATCCTCCATTTAGATAAGCTTCCAATGTCATAAGCCCAGGTAATGGTTCGCCCTTAATGTAACCGAAAAGGAATACGACAACGTCGCAGCACCCGGAATGAGTATGAATCATCAAATGATCACTCGTATTGCGACCAGGAAATAAATTTGCGCAAACGAGAATACCCAGCTGATGATGCACCATCGGCTTTCGAAGTATCAGATAAGAAGGCTGTCCAATTGAGAGCAGTTGACCTAATTTGAGGGGGTTAAAGATTGGTTTGCGAAAAATAGTTTTATCTATATTGGGGAGTCAATGTCAGTTTGAGACAACCTATTTGGCAACTTTCACGTAGAATAATATGCATTGCAGTAGCGATTGAGTTGAGTGAAGACAAGACATGAAAAGCGAATATAGAAACCACTCACCGAAAACAACACCACCTTCTCCTCTAACACCAACATAATGCCATCCCCTAGCTCTTGGTTGTTGGCACTTTTACCAATAATTGTCGCGAAACTGACCACTCTACCTATGAAAGTAACTGCTTTTGGTCCTACAAAACTCAAGAGTTAGTAAATCTTTTATAGAATCGTGTAAATAATTTTCAAGGTTCTTCTCCGCTAGTCATTAGTTCTACAAGAACTTTGATACTTCACGCAAGAAACCACATTGTAGAAATATCTCAAGGGCTAGATCATGAAGATATGAACCGTATACTCCCCCCCCCACCCCCCCCCCCCCCCCCCCCCCCCCCCAGAATACAGGGGAAACATTTGAAAGGTTACATACCAGGAATCAATTTCTCCCACAGCCAAAACTCTCATACTCTCTACTCGGATTCCCACTTTTAGCCAAAGGATCCATTGCCTCATGTAGTTCTTCTTCCTGTTATCACACCGAGTATGTCAGTCATCGAATTTTGATCAATAATATTTCTCCATATACTCCAACTTCCGCCCTCTTCATCTTCTCTCACCATTCTCATCATCCCCTCAATCGCACACGGCAAGTGCACCTCAACTCCACAAAGTTCAAAACATGATGTAAAATGCAAACCCTGAATACTTGAGAAAATAAAGTCTCCAAAGATGAAAGGAAAGTCCAGACCAAGAGAGAACTGCATAAACAAACCAAGCTGCTCAAACTCTCGTATGAAAACTCACCGTAAATCCATCTCCAAATTCATCTTCCCCATCTTTCCCACCCCTCTCTACTACACCACCATCCCTACCAAACCCATCACCCTGTGCACTTCCTCCCCTCCCCTGCAAGCTCGAGTTACCCACCACATTCAAAGCAGACATTCCTTCATCCCCCTTAACCTCCTTTCGGAAAAAACTCTGAATCGATGGATATTGCGACGGCATTTTCTCTTCCTAATCTCTGCTAACCGTTCTCAGTTTCTAAACTTTCACATCCGAAAGCTTCAATGTAAATTAGATAACGCTCTATACAAATCAACAGGAGATAAATAAACATCCAATCCACCTCCAACTTGACAGGCGCAATAGATACAGCATACGCACAAGCAGAAGGTACGAAGTACGAATTATCAACAGTGATATGAATGTATAGCATCATCAAACGAATCCACACAACTCAATCCATCTCGACTCACCTCACAATCAATCTCAATTTCTAAACTTCCTCAACGAGATAAAAAAAACTCTGATCCTGCGAAGAGAACGAAGAAGAAGAAGAAGAAGAAGAAGAAGAACGCACCATTCAATCCGAAAGTAAAACGTCGTCAAAAGGCATTCATCCATTCACCCCCTACAAAAAATCAATAAGTAGAAGATAATCAAACAGATAAGGTTCTGAGATAGTCAGAGTACTCAATGAAGAGAGTGAAAAAGAAAAAGTAAGTAAATCAACCCAACAAGATCGCGTAGAATCTATCTAGATAGTAATCCCGAAAAAAAAACGATGAACAAATACATTACACAGAGCAGAAAATTTACAAATCTCAAATCTCAAATCGCAATACCAAGCAAACAAATAAAAACGAAAAAGAGAACCTGAAAGTAGAAATAGAGAATCCACAGAAAGAGAGAATCCCTTGGTATACCAAAAGCAACAACAATCAAGAAAACCATCTCGAAGAGAGAAAAATGGAATGTGAAGAAAAAGACAGCTTTCTCACACCCAAGAAAACCATCTCACCTCTCCCCTCTCCATCTAAATTCATCCCGTTTCAGATCCAGAAATATTCGAAGAAGAAGAAGACCTCTCGAGAAACCCTTTTCCTCAATCAGCAGATCCCTCAAGCTCAAGATGAAAACTACCTAGGGGCATAAGAACCCCCCCCTCCCTTCCGTCCCCCCTCTCCACAAACCAACAATTCAAATCAGTTCAATCGATATGCTATGGAGAAGAAAAAAATCGAACAATACAATCAACAACATGATAAATGATAAAACCCAAAGTCCTCTCTCTCCCTCAACGCAGAAGATATCTTCATACACCAACGCACACACACATACACACAAGCATCTCGCTCCTCCCTCCTCCCTCATACTACCAGTAACTACCAGTACACAAAACAAAACAACAATTCAGAAAAAACATCAAATGAAAGATTTCCTGAAAATCCCCCCTCTTGCGCTCCCGCAAATCCGCCCCCCTGCAAAACAACAACAATACAAAATGCTCCCCTTCCCCCCTTTCTCCCAAATCCAAAAACTCGAAAAACAACCAGACCCAAAAAAGACACAAAAACTCAAAAAACACACTCAAAAAACACACTCAAAAACACACTCAAAAACACACAATACACTCAAAAAATCAAAAAATAAATACCTCTCAAATGTCCCCTCCCCTCTCCTCAAGTCTTTCCTCCCCTCCCCTCCCCTCAAGTTCTCACCTCCCCTCTCCTCAAAGATCCTTCCTCCCACTCTACCAAATCAATCAACAATCAAGTCAAGATTTCAATATATAAAACCTTTCAAGTTCATCCAGATTTCGAGTTCGTTCATCAAGATCTCAAGTTCATCCATCCACTCTACTGTCGCGATATACCTCGATACACCTCGAGATACCTTCCTTCTTCACCTTCTACACAAATGGGAATCTGCTTGGATCACAATTTGATCAATGAGGATTGATAAGTGCGAAATCAATTCAATGGAGTAAATGTTCCCTTCAAAGACATATGAGATGATGATTCGGAGATTTCGGAAAATTTAATGGTCAAAGGTGAAGATATTCATTGGGAAGTGAAACAAGTGTTCAGGCAATTCGCGCTAATGACCGTTTTCCTTGCTCCTTCCCCAACTAATAAATTCCCGGCACGAACACCAAAATGTATCAGCTGGAATCACTAGAAAACACTAGAAAACATCGGACATTTTTACACAATCCAAAAGAGTAATGTTTGAAGGTTTAATGTACTTCAATTTTCGTTAAATCTATTCTAGGTAATGAATGGATGCATGGTACTTAGGTATCACCATGAGGTAAACAAGAATAGTAAGCAATTCAAGGGTCCATCAAAATCCCACCACCATAAAATTCGAACAATCCACAACCCCCGACCAAAGACACAATCTAATAAAGCTTGTGTTCCAAGGTCATATCATTCTCTGGTTCAAGACCAACACAAGCACGGAAGATGTTGATCAAAGCACCACGTTGCTTGGCAAGTGCATTGACAACTGGAGCTCCAGGTGGAGTCAAAGGTGCCTTGAGCATATAACTGAGAATGCTAAGAACACTGTGGAAGTTCTTGTAATCCTTGGTGGTAGCACCATCAGTAGAATGTGCCTTCCATTGAATACGAGTCATCATCTCTGCAAGGACAACAAGATCAATGATCAATGGTGAAGCAAGAAGAGAATCCTCGCAAACATTGAAGAGACTATTTATGATTAGTCAAGTGTATAATGTGGGCATTGATTGAAAAATAACTTACGAAATGGTTTGATGACCTCCCATGAAAATCTCAGCATAGTACTCATCAAGAGCACGCTTGTTATCACCGACAGCTGGCATGTACTTGATGACAACACAATGATCAGGATGTTCACCTTCCTTGTAGAGGACATTGTTAGCAGCTACCATGTCATCGACGACATTGGATTTAGAAATCTCCTTGGAACGGAATTGCTTTTGAGAGCTGAGATTCTTTCCATCATTGTTACCAAGATGATTGTAACTGGAGATAGCAGTAAGCTTGATACCGGCACTGATCAAGAAGTCGACGAGAGCAGACTTCATCTTGGTTTGACCAGATTTGAAGTCATCACCACCAATGAAGGAGTTGTGCTTCTCTGCGAGCTCAATGCAACCAGGAACAAATGTGTTTTGTGGAGAACCATTGATGAAAGGTGCGTTCTCGAGAATGCAAGCAACAGCAAAGATAGTGGAAGGCGCAACTTCTTCGTGTCCATTCTCAATAGCTTTCAAGAGATTATCAGCAGTGTCATTAACACCATCAATGAGCTCAGCAAACCGTTCAGTGTTGGCAGTCCAGAGAACAATGACCTTATCGAGTTCGTTCTTGGCCTTGAAGTCACTTTGGAAAAGAATGTTAGTGGATGGTAATGGAATAAAGAGTAAACCACTGTGAATGCTTACCGGATATCTTGACGAATCTTTTCAACATGCTCATTGCAAGCCTTGCTACCTGGGATAAGGTTGTCGGCACGATCTTCTTGATTGGCAGCAATGAAATCTGGGTAGTAAAGACCAGGAAGTGGAACCAAGTCAGTCATTTCCTTCTTGATTTGTTGCTTCAAGGTAGGTTCGAGGACACCAGCACGATCCATGGCATCAGACAAGTTGAAGCCGCTGATATCCCATCCACCAATGACCAAATCATTAGGGTGAACCATTGGCAAAGCTTTGTGGAAAGGAATGTTGACATCATCACCAGTCTTTGCGTTAGTACCAAGTTTCATGGTTGAACCCATGACAACGGAGCCATAGTAGTTGTGCTCACGGGTACCCTCACGAGTTGCCCATGAAAGACCACGACGGTTAGCAATGATACCGGCAGTGACAGTTGTACCATTGTTTCCACCCCAACCGACAAGCATCATACCTGTCTTGGGGATCTTACGTTCAACCTTGAAGTCATAGACAGTTTCTTTGGGAGTAGCAACAAAGTTACCATTGGCAGACTGAGTGACAGCGGTAGTACGATAATTGTACTTTGAGCGAATCTCGTCATCAGTGTAGAGAACGTTGGGAGAGCTAACGGTGAACAAGTCTTGGTTAGAGGATTGGGAGGATGCACCATCCATAGTGCTGGTGTTGCTGGAGCCGTTTGCGTGAGGAGCCATCTTGATTGATTTGAAAACTCGAAAAGTTCTTAAAAGTGCTTGACAGTTCTTGATTTAACGTAAAGATGTTTGAGAGTATCTTGGAATTGATGTAGATGTGTAGGTAAAGCAAGAATTACAATTGTATGAATGTTTTCGAGTTTTGATGGGTACTGATGTATAGATAAAAAGTGATGCAAATGTTGTGTATTGGAGAAGAAGAGTTCTGTTGATTGCAAGACTATTTATCTAACAAACGGCGAGTCCGATGCTCCTGCTGGAGAAGAGCAACGGGCACCAGCAAAAGGATGGTGCGATCTGTTGATGACTTGTTAGTATGCCATATTGTCAAGAGGTTCCTCCCTCAATGGTGGGTTGTGAGAGGTTGAAGTGCATATTAGGAAGGAAGTATGAAATTTATGACGAGATCGTAAGATGGGTGACGACCACAATGTAAACAAGGAACTTATGGAAGGCAGCAACCGCAAGAATCAATACAATATGAAGGTATAGGATGTTCCTCCCTTCATTATCCAAGGGAATGTGAAGCCATTGACAAGGAGAAGGTAAGATACACCCGCGATCACATGTAAACATCGCAACCCATGGAAGGCAGCAAGCAGCAGATATTGACAATCAAACAATCTCCAATCCATCAAGTGCAACTGAGAGTACAGATGGCACAGGAAGTTCCTTCTTCCTCCCTCACCCATCCTCTATCCACGGCAGCAAGAGCATATTTTGTCTCTGAAAACATTATCAAAATAAAATTCAATACGTACGAGTTAAGAAGATTAGAAAACGTCTTGACGACGGGGTGATCACACTCGTAAGTGCGATCTGTTTAATTGACTTGAGGTGAGTGTTGAAAGGGGTTTGCTGTGGCAGTTGATCTTAATCGTCGGTCGAATGTGATTCGAAGTATATGGGTATTGAATGGAAGGAAGTCTGAACTTCGTGGGGAGTCGCATCGTTTTAAATTCGTCGTGGTGACATCCGTTGTCCGAATTCCGTATCTCCCCCCACTATAATCTAAGGTACCGTCTGATAATAGTGGGCTAGCTTTGCTGGCTAGAATACGCGTCGATGATTGGATGAGAGTGTGTGGATGTACCTAGTAGCATGTGTATCGATAACGATCAACAAAAGAAAGTATCATTTTCTCCATGATTTTGCTGTGATGTCTTGCGGAGAGTCTGGAGTACCTAGGTAGTTGTGGAGAAAAGGGAGAATATTATTGATTTTTATGTATTGTACTGAGTATGGTATGGTATGGTATGGTGTGGTATGATTTGGTAGTATGAAGAAAAGTGCAAAGATAGTAATAATCACAACAGAAGAAACCGCATGCTTCACAAACTTCTGGATAAGAGATTATCTCCAAGACTTCACGGTGGCTGTCAACTTGGCTTGCGAATTCGCCTACAAAATATATTGTTATTCATATTGCACCATTCAATCCTCACCAACCATAATATCTATCCTATTCGTCAATGTTGAATGTCTCGAGATTCCTATACGTACCTAGGTAGTGGTCCCTCACTCTTCTCATCTCATCTCATTGATTCGAAAATTTACAATTAAATTATCCGATCGATTAATATCCAAGAAGCGACCACGGAATAATACTCCCTCGGCCCCTTCCTTACCTTCCCTTGCCAACATCTCGTTCCCGAAGACTACGGAATCTCGCATCGCGGTTGCGCCCGTTAGTACAGAAATCATATAAGTTATATTATCAATAGAATAGCACTATTGAAATGAAGCAAAGTAGCGGTCAGATACTACATGCAGATGTATTTCCATCAATGGCATTTCAACACTTTCATTACTCATTGCGTCGAGGAAATCACAACACGTGTTTGTTTGAATTGTCGATAAGGAAAGGAGGTGTGATGAGATGCACAAGCGGCATTGTGAGAACATTTGGTTGGCTTTGTATGTTTGAGAGCCTGAATTTGAGTATCCAATGTGGAAAATGATGTTGGTGTTCGAAATGGGTGAGTGTGCATTCATTCATTTGCAACTGTTTGTGTTTTTCAACCAATGTGCTGTGTGTTTATGTTTCAGTAAGTTCGGAAAGAGACTGTTGGACACTATACCGATATTTACGGCGTGGAAAACAATGTTTGTTGGTAGGTAGGTAAAAGATATGCATGGAAGAGTGTATGGGAAATCTGCTCTACAAGATGCATTCTTGTGTTGGTGTTGACCAAGTGAACAAGAGGGAAAGAAGGAAGGTCCCGGATCAACAGATATTATTACTCACGAAGAGACCGAGTCCAGATTTATCAAGGTCGAAAATGATCCCGTTGTAATCTTCTTCCATACTACACACGATACACACGATACGCATGCTTGCGATCCTACCTATTGATGGGCAGCGACTCAAAGAGGTCCATCCCATCATCAACCAACTAAATTGAAGAGAAAAGATAGCATGAGAGAACTTCATATCCCCCATCTTTGGGGGCCAAAGACCAAAAATTCCTGTTGAAAAATTTCCTGAATGGAAGGGGATCAGCTTCATATAAATTGAGCAGCGCTACTTCAGGAAATGTAAGGTGGAGATCAGGGGCTAGTAAGCCGCCGACAGAATCACGGGAAGAGAGAGTGACGAAGTGTAAAGAGTGGCCGTTGTTTGACTGAGAATATTGAAGCTATCGAAAGAGAAAAAATTCTAAATGTCTGTGTCGTGTTGGATTCATTGCCAATTTATGAAGCATCGGCCAGAATTGTTACGAGTCGATTCTTTAATTTCCTTCGGGTGCAATTTCTCTTGATAACATGTAATAAAGAGCAATGCACGGTATTAGTAGTATAACTTCGTTTTTCGGATCAAAAGAAAAAACAATAGGTACCTAGCCATACAACTAACTACCTAGCACTCTGTACAATCAAATCTCGATTACCTCCTCGAACATCTCTATTTATACTACCTCTACCTATCAATACGACATTCGACGCTGTACTCTACACATTACCGATCACACCCATCTATGATAATACCCTATCACACTTCACCGTCAGGGTCAGGGTCCGACGGTCCAATCTTAGGTTCACGGCGGCAAGGACTGGAAATGGTCAAGGTTGATGATTGATATTCTCCATTGGGGAATTTGTGGAGCGTTCCATTCAAATGATTCGATTCATGAGATACTTTAATACTCCTTCATTACTAGGGACTAGATACTCGATATTAGATGGTAGATATTAAATATTAGATATTAGATATTAGATACCAGATACCATCTACTAGATCCTAAGCAAGCGATCTCTTCCACCATCGAAAGCGTTAGCATGTCGCGGACCAAGGGCCAGAGAGTGTCAATTGGGCATGGAAGGTCGAATGGAAGGAATCGAATGTTTTGGATAGAGAGCACATACTCAATGTCTTGACATCATTATGGATGCGCATGAAAAGCGCGCGACATCTGAAACCACGTTTTCTTAATTTTGGCTCTGCCATTACGTACCTCCCAAGGTTTCGATCATGCATGCAGATATGGAGTCACCCCAAAGGAAGAAGAAAGAAAGAAAAGAAAGGTAAAATGTGCAACGGTAATTTTGTATCGTCAATCGCACGATAAACTTTGCGCTGGAAGAAGGCCATCCATGCATGATCCATCGGTTAGTAGGTTTCGTTTCATTGGCGATGAGGTGGATCCTTTGGGTTACTCTCCGATGAAGGTTTCCCTGGGGTCTGGGATCTTTGCGTGGACGGTGAGTTTATATGTAACCTTGCTCCGTCCCTGACATCTCGCGTCGTCCGATGAACCTTGATTTTGATTTCTCTCTCGTTTTTCGGGACTGGTCGGTCGCGAGAGATGGCACTAGGACCTTTCCGTGGCCCCTGATATTTGGAGGGACGGTGATAAGGCCCAATGAGGGTTGCAGTGCCAAAAGTGGTTCTGGATATTGCGATGAGTGAGATGACTCATCTGAGATGAGATGAAGGAGATGAATGTGTCGAGTGGAGCTGGAGCCGGTGGAGCATGGACGGACGGACCAGATTGGGAGAGAGATGAAGCGTTGTGAATCTGGAATGGAGAATGGAGAATGGGTGGAAAGGTAAAGGTTAGAGGTAAGTGATTGAGAGGGGGGATGGGATGATGTTGTATGGAGGATACTTGGTGGTGATATGATATGAGGATATATTTCTCAAGTGTCTAGGTAGGTACTCATCATCATTTAGTAGTAGATACCTAGGTATTCATGAATGTTTCCGTTGAAGTTGAAGCTCATTAGATACATAGATCAAGAGATATCAGATAGATACTACTAGGTAACTTACATAGTAGACATTAAATATAAATTCATCTTGCAATAAACCATCCATACATTACATACAATCGCATATAATATATACCATACATTACATACAATCGTATATAATATATACTATACCACGAGCACACATACCTCCCTCTCGAGGAATCTCTTCATCCCAGATTCCCAAATTCCAATCCATCCCGGCACTACTCAGTTCATCCACGGCCATACCTCCATACGTACCTAGTAGCTTTGACCTCTCGAGTCATTTCTTTCCATGCCATCTTCCATTGCTTCCAATCCTTCCATATCCTCATCCCAATCCCATGTGCCGATGTACATCTCTCCTCCGCAAGACCCAATCATCCATCAATCCATTACTCGAGACATCTCCTCACAATAAGCATTCAATTCATGATAAAAAAACCTTACCAATGAAACCCGAGATCTCATCGATGTGATGATACTCACACCATCACTCCATCACCACTTTATCAATTGATTGGGTAAGAATTCAATCAAATAATATTTATCCGCAACAATAGATAATTAAACATGAACCAATCATGGCCCGCGAAGGTTTATGCTATGGGACTTGGATGTTACAATAACCTCCATCGTGAAGCCAGCACGGTTCACCATCGAGGACTTGTCATGATGTTTCTGGTACCTGAATCCACTTTCATCCCATTTTGGATTCTGGATGTGACTTGGACCAGGGAGGGGGAGGGGAGGGAGGACGGAAAGATATTCGAAGTGTGAAAGCTTGCGCAGGTTCATGATATGATAGTCCATCGTCCGTCGTTCATCCATGAGAAGAGAGAGAGATACCTGGCTACGGTTCGTACTACGTCCTCAAGAAGATCTTCTCTTTTCTTCTTTTCTCCACACCACACTACCTATACTAGGACGTGGGAGTTTCATCCAACTATCAAACATTCGTTCGTCCCGATCTTTTCCACGTTTTGTTTTTTGTTTTTTATCTTCACTACCTACCTATACACACATACACACACGCGCGCACTCACACGCACACTCACACTCGCTCACAGTAACAGTCAGTCCTTACAGCAATCCTCGAGTACCACCTAGCAAGCACAACATTCATTCATACCTATCCATCAATCTTTACATCTTGTCGTTCATTCCCATCCAATCTTTCAAGTAGGAATTCGATCAATACATACTTACATTACAATATACCACATCTTCGTCTTCGTTCTTCAATCGCATTGACACTTTACTAAATTCATTTTTCAATATCTCTCACAAGAATTTGCTTCCTAATCAAGACTCTCTACATTGCTGCGATCAGATCCAATTGAGCTTGGAGATCATTTCTAGAAGATTTAATATAATATATTGGACTCACAAACGAAACAATTGAATATTCATAATATCGCCACTCTCCATAAACTTCCTTCCTTCACTCCGAAAATCACCAGGTCTTTCATCCTCTCTCTCCCCATACCGAGCTTTTTACCGCCTCCACTTCATTAATCGACGAAGGAATAAGAGACCAACATAAAATAACATAACCGCTTTATGATCAATATTTAACAATCAATCGAGGGAATTGAGAGGTTGGCATAATCAAGAAATCACCTTGCTCACCATGGCAGACTTTATGAGATCGTCGAGTTTTCTACCAACGATAAAATGTTCGAGTTGCGCGAGGGATATTCAAATTGCTATGATGGGGGAGCATATTTGCTCAGGCCCTCCTGCTGGAGAACGTAAGTTTTTAGGTTCATGATATCAATGGGGCATCAATACTAATTATTCATCTAGCTACACCACCACTTGATTTGAATACCACTTTCGACAGGATGCCATATAATCAACAATCATATTCCAATGCATCGAATCTTTTGAAACCAGGAAGGACAATGCCTCCGAGGGTTGATACATCTGCTGCGAGTATGTGGAAGAAGAGCCATGGGACTGTTAAAATTTATACTAATGATAACATCAATAGATCGTCCATTCTTCCAACAAGATCAATTGACACCAGCGAGTAGCGCATCTCCCTCTCGAAGTGCTTCACCATTAACTCCACACGATCGCCTTCGATTACCATTCGGAAAGTCTTCGCGCGCTAACGAATCGTCACCTATACAAAGACCTATTTCCCCAGCTCTATTATCATCGAATCTAGACTCTGCTTTCCCTCGCTTTCCGACACCCAAAGTAACGGGATCGCCCGGACTTAAGAGTGCATATGGCGCCCACTCGCCGAGAATGGAACAGGCGGATCCAATGATGTTCGCATCCACAAATTCAAGACCCTACATGAATCCAAATGTAGCTGGAAGTGTTGCGTCTTTACAAAAAGTCGTTACAAATGCCCCAGGATCGTTTGCGATTGACTCAAGGAAAGTTCCTAGCTATGAAGAACAGCCAATGTACAATAGAAAACCTAGTATGGGACGTCCAGATGACATAATTTCGCCACCTCTGACTGCGGAGCCTGAACAAATTGATCGAACACTCTCGACCAGCTCGGGTCATTCTAGAACTTCAACAAATAGCTCGAATAACAATTTCCCAATGCCACCGCGCAACAAAGGATATGGTATTCTATCACCTGAAGCGAGAGAAGATTCTCAGGAAGCTGGACGTCAAGAAGCTATAAGATCACAAACATTTCCTCGACGAAAGGAAAGTCTAGATTTCCATGCGTCACGTAGAAATCAATCGATATCAAGTCATAGGTCACGAGAGTCGAATGACAGAGGACGGAAAACATCAATCTCTGGTCCTGATACATCAAGAGCATTACCACCGCGAGGTGCAAGTCTCATCAGAGGAAGATCAGGACATCAGGCTGGCGATCTTCCACCGTTACCCAATATTAACTTGGAAGCAGAATTTGGTGCTAATAATCCATACCATTCTGCATCTAATTCTCAATCATCCACTCATTCATATACTTCTTCCACTTCTGCAGGGAGTAAAGGTAGCTCACGGTCAAGCCCTCCATCCACCGTGGAAAGCGATTACCACAGGAGACAGCAATCAAATCCCAGAATGTCTGATCTCATGTCTGAAATTACTTCATCAATGGCAAATATTTCACCACATGAAATGTACCCCAGACCAAGCGATTTAGAACCAGTCAAAGAACAAGAACCATACTCACCTCTGAGTCCCGCCTTTCAATCCCCAGATTACGCCACCAATCCTGTCAGTCGCCTATCGCCTACACCTCGTGTTCCCCCACCCGCGCCTCTCAAACCCCGCAATCGTGACCCCTCACCTGCGCCACTGAATCCTCGATTACGAAATCTTTCGCCAGCCCCTATGAATGGTTTCCAAAGATCTCACACAGCTCCACTCCTCGATCAGAACAAGCCTTTGCCCGCTCCTCGCCGCCCTGCCACGTCAAAAGGTAATTGCAAATCTTGCACGCTTCCCATCAAAGGCAAATCTGTATCTTCGGCAGATGGACGTCTAACTGGTCGCTATCACAAACCATGCTTCGTGTGCACAACTTGTCGAGCTCCATTCCTGACCTCGGAATTCTACGTTCATAATGATGCGCCGTATTGTGAACATCATTATCATCAATTGAATGATTCAATGTGCTCTGGTTGTGATAGGGGTATCGAGGGACAATATTTGGAAAGTGAGAAGAAGGAGAAGTTTCATCCAAGCTGTTTGAATTGTGCGGAGTGTAAGAGGAATTTGAGACACGATTATTTTGAGATGGGTGGGAAGATTTATTGTGAGCGGGATGCTTTCAGGAGAGCACAGGAATCACGCAAAGGAGGATTGGGTGCTGGATTGGGTGCGGAAACGACGAGGATGGAAAGGAGAACTACGAGATTAATGATGATGTAGTGGATCTGGGATATGCAGAGATTGGATTTGAGGCGCTTAATACTGGGAGGATTGTCCTGTTTTATACCATATGGTCTTGAATAGACTCGCGTTGCTTTTTTTGTTCTTTAAAGGCATAGCGAAGCGTTGCATTATACCTTTTTTTTTTTTCTCGATTTTTAATTTCGATTGGTCTGAAGACCTTTGATTTCGATTTCGACTTCGATTTCGGCTTCGATTTCGGCTTTCGACTTTCGTTTATCTATATTATATACCCTTACTTATTTTTTTTTTTATTTTTAGCGCAAGGAAATAATGCGTTAATTTATATACCTACCTTACTTGGGATTTTTGTTTGTACATTGGCTTTTTGTATATGTTTTTTTTCTCAAGAGAGGATTCTGAGTTTTTAGCTGGGATGAGCGGGAGTGGGAGTGGGAGTGGGAGTGGGAGTTGTGGTTTATATGAGGAGATAGGGAAGGGGATTGGGAAGTGAAAGATAGGAAGTGAACTAATAATGTTTATATGTGAATTGGGGTTGGAGTTGGGGTTGGAGTTGGAGTTGGAGTTGAAGTTGAAGTTGGTGTTGGAGTTGTATAGGTGGATTGTGACTAGGTGATGAGTGGATGGTGAATTGGTGGATAGATGGACTTGTGAGAGAATGGGGTGGGATTGTGGGATGGTGTGAGAGGGAATAGAATGAGAAGAAAAGAGAGAAGAGATGAGATGGAATGGAATGGAATGGAATGGGAAGAGAAGAGAAGAGAAGAGAAGAGGAAAGATAGAATGAGAAGGCAAGAGATGAAATTATGTATTATAGGACCTAGGTATGATGTGATTTTATGGGGTATGTGTATGTATGTAAGATATGTATATATTTATATATATATATACGTGTGTAAGATATGTATGCGTGCGTGTATGGATATGTATAGATGAAGAAACACCACGTACAGCTGGGGGTAAGGGAGTTAGGAGTGAGGGGGTGAGGGGAGCGAGAGGGGGGAGGGAGGAGAGGGAGTTGAATGGAAAATTGAGAGAGAAATGAAAATGAGAAGATGAGAAGATGATTAATATAAAATAAAATAAAAGAATTTTATATTATATTATATATTGTAGTGTAGTGTAGTATTTCATGTCGTATTATATCGTATCATATTATAATATAAATCGGTAAATTGGTAAATTGATAAACAAATAAACTAGTAAATTTGTAATATATCACCTGGGCACTTATTATATCGATTCATGGATAACTATATACTGCTCAGGTGTATACTAGTCTGATCGGGTTAGGTCAGGTCTGATCAGGTTTAAATTAGGTTGACATAAGATTATTAGACAGCCCTGGTATTTAGATAGATATTAGATATCTAACCTTACTCATAATAAGTGTTGAGATATTGAGATATGGAGATGTCGGGTATCTAGTAGATCCATATACGATAAAATATAGTAGGAATAGAAGTAGAAGTAGATAGACAGATAGATAGACAGATAGATAGATAAATAGATAGATAAATAGATAGATAATAGATAGATAATAGATAGATAAATAAATAGATAAATAAATAGATAAATAGATAGATAAATAAATAGATAAATAGATAAATAGATAGATAGATATCTTTTATACTTACTTATTCTATCAATTCACTCACAAGATCACTCTACCAATGTACTCACTCACTCACTCAATCAACTCAATCTACCAATTTACTCACTCACTCACTCAAGGTCACTTGCTCATTCACTTACTCACTTAACTCTTCTCATCCCTCTATAATAATTCATCCCTCTAATTCATCCCTCTAATTCGTAATTCATCCCTCTAATTCATAACCAGTAACCAGTAACCAGCAGCCAGCAGCCAGAAAACCAGAGACCAGTAATCGACAGCAAGAGGAAGAGAAAGAAGAACAAGAAGAGAAAAGAAAAAGGAAAAAGGAAAAAGGAAGAGAACTACAAACCAAACGAATAAAAACACAATAAATGGAAAATCACCTGGGTACAACAGGGTAACCTACCTAGGTGAGAGATATAGCATCCATAGCATCGATCGCACCACCATGTAGAAAGCGTAGGAATTCATATTATATCAGATCCCATCATCATCATCATCATCATCATCATCAGTCATAAAACACACAAACGTTCTATGATAGTAAAGTAAAGTATATGAATTATGCGCTGAGGCATATCCATCCATGTTGAATTAACTAAACTATCGTGTAACGAACAAACTACCTACCTACCGACGAACAAAACAACCCAAAGACCGCATTACAATCCCATTCAAGTATTTCATCTTCATAAAATCTTAGGAAAGTCCTTAGTCAACCCATCGACATCTCTGCACCTTTTACATCTCCTTTACTTCGCTTCAAAAAAGAAGGAAAAAAAGGAAAGAAAGATGATCTCAGAAAAGAGAGCGAGTTGTGATATCGTGAGTGTTTGCCGTCGAGTAGAAGAAAAACCAGATTCGCCACATTCGATGCACAGCTTGAAACCGCGGGCTCCATTCCCATTCCCAATGTGCAACCAGAATACATTAATACAAGAATTTCATCAAACAAGTTTCCGTTCTCCATGTCCATCCATTCATCCAGATGTACATGCTATCGAGTAAAAGAAATCGGGTATACCCATTCCATTACGCCAATTTCCGTGAGAAAGGTTTGTGCCGTAAAAAAATCCTTCTTCCTAACGCCATTTTATCGTAATTGTGTATGTAAAAGGAAGAGATTTAAGATGATCCACCATCGCCATTAAGGATGCGTGCCATCTCTTCACGTTCAGCAATCCACGGGGCGCACGCGATCTTTTCGGCCTCAGGGATATCGCCAGTGGCACCACCTTCACCATCAGACCACTCGCTAGGATCTTCAATGAGACCAGGACAAGCCATACGCTTCCAATAACGACGTTCACCCTTATATTGATGAACTTGAGTTGTGAGCTCAGTAATGATCTTGTTCTCGGAAGCATAACGACGAAGCTGATTAATATAATCATTGGCCTTTGCAGCATGAGCTTGCATATCTGCGATGTGGCAACGAAGTTCAAGGTTCTCTTTGCGTTCTTGAGCGAGTTGATCACGGTAACTCTTGTGCCAGGCAAGAGTGTCCTTCTCATGTTGGAATTTGTAATTGTGGGCCTTCTCCTTGATGTCCTCAAGGATACCAGCAGCATGAAGAACCAATTTCCAATTTTCGTCAGCATCAGCCTTGGATGATTCGACTTCTCTACGCAATTGAGCGTTCTCGATTTCGAGATTCTCTGAACCAGCTAATGCATTGTTAGCTATGCTTCTTCTTCAAAGCAGGGGCAGTAACTCACCATTTCAATTCCTCGGTAACAATATCAAGAAGCTCGTCATTGCTCAAATTCTTATCTTTGGCTCGTTGACGAACATTTCCGATCTTCTCAAGAATACTATCGGTGATTTTCTGATTGGCGGCTAAAAGGCGGCTCAATTCTTCAACCATAACCATGATATAATTGAGGTCAGATTGATGTCCAGCAGGAGTTGGAAAGCCAATCATGTTAGCCATTCCGGCCATGTTCATTTGACCGTTCATTCCGTTTGTATGAGCCATACCTTGACCTGGCGATGGTGGTGCTTGTCTAGAGTTGGATGGTTGGCCGGATTGATTTGGATCACCGAAACCCTGATAATTCATCTTACGATCCTTACGTGTCTTGGGTGGTTGAGGTGGGGGAACGTATGTCGCAGAGGTAAGTTGAGGAAGATTGTAGGTGGAAGAAGTGAGTGCGATTTGATTGTGGAAAGGCTCTTGTACAATGGGTCTGTAGTCGAGCTCTGGAAAGGCTCGAAGGTCTTCAGTAGAAGGAAGTGAAGAGACGGAAGACGATCGAGAGTGGTGAATAACCGATCCACGACGACGGGCTCTTAAATCAGTAGTAAGAGGGTGTTCAACAACTGGAATTGGCTGGCGAACTGATGGCAGACGAGGAGCTTTAAGAGATAGTTAGTAAATAATCGGGGCGCAATTGTTTCGATCTGAACTTACATGGTCGTGCGCTCTGAACTCCACGATAACTAAATTCTTCACTTTCAGTTTCTGCTGCGATTTCTTCTCCGTAAATTCCAAGACCGATGCCAGAATCTTGAAGCTCTCGATCGTGCCGAATGACCTCTGCGCGAAGGCGTTCGAGTTCTGCGTTCAAAAGGCTTGAATCAGATGTATTTGAGTTAATTGAATCGCGGCGCGATGCTGGGATTAAATCCTCTAATTGAGGACGCTCAGTTGATGAACGAAGTGTATCTGATCTCGATCTTGTTCTACTTGGTAGATTGGTGGTAGGAAGAGGAGTAGTGATTGTTTCGAGAGTAGGGAATGGGGTTGGAGGGGATAAGCTTCTGTTAATAGAGCTATCCATGATGGAAATCAGAGGGTCCGAGCGGTGACAGAACCGACAATGGCAGAATTTTAATTAAGAAGAGTTGAAAAAAAGTGTAGCCTGAGGCGAACACGATTCGAATATTGAACAACCACCAAAATCAGTTGAAGAAAAGCCAATGTTGTTGATCTTGTTGTTGTTAATTGTTTTTGAGGATAGAAACAAGTTCAGAATTGTTGTGGGAGAAACTGAACCAAGCTAACCGCTTTTGCCAAATGGATTAAGTTGTCCTGAGGCCATCAAAGCCTGGATCCTAGGTTGACTATTTCATATGGACAATGAGTGAGGTCTGTATTGTGTGAAGGTTCAAGTGTGAATTACACATTGAACAGTTATCGTCTGGCTTGGGTTTTCTGTATTTCTGTTTAGTAGCTGGTTTGATTCTATGACAGTTGGAGAAAGTTCTCTCTACCTTCTGATAAGGGTTGAAATCCTAGAACTGGTATATAAGTATCAATGAAGGATAGTAAAGCTTCCGTCTTGTTTCAGTCACTTGATAGTAGCAAGTGTAATAAACAATATTTTGTAAAATTTAATACGGATGGTTGGTAGAGAATTCTTGATGATACATATCTAGGTCAAATCTGTAGCATTTCAAAGGTCTTTCTAGCTTCCACAGTAGTGTGTGATTCTCCAGGAAGGAGCCAAAGACTTCATAGTTCTCACCTAGTTTTGTATATTGATATGTATCAATGTAAATAGCCTTATTCCTCCTATTGCATTTTGGACTCTGAAATGATGTTTTTGTTGCATTAGAAGTGTAGTCGATTGTCATATATCGTTGAAGTAATTCTCTTATGATCAAAATAATGATTCCTTTAAATCTACTAAGTGATGACAGGCCAGAGAGTTATTATCCGACATGATCACTTCAACGCATCAATTATTGGTGCTTATATCATCTTTCTAATATTTCCACTTTTCACCATGTAGCCTTATTGAGGCTCAATACTTGAATGCAAATTTATACATTGTTGATGGTATATTTTATCTTCTGAAAGCTTGTCAAACTGATAGTCTTCGTATTACAAGATGAAAACAAGGAACATCAGGCTTTCATCTGCTGCGAATTGACCATAGATAGTATTAGATACGGAAATTCTAGAACATGCCATAAACATAAGGTCCTCATATTGACATGTAGCTCAAGATCATATTGAGAACCACATCCTAGAAGTATAATTTGCCGAGAGAATTCACATCTTATTTGATAGTTTGACAAATGAAATTTCCGTTCACATAATTGCATAACATGGTTTATCAGTGCGTGGCCCATATCAGTGGGTGGCCCACTTTCACCTCAATTCGACTCTCTCATTTCAACACACGTTTTATCAATAACTTATAATGGATTTGAATAATAAAGAAGCCTGTATATTACTCGCTATTGCAGTTATTCAGAAAGATAAAAAGCTAAGTACTCGAAAGGCTACAATACTATACAATATCTCACGATCAATATTACAACATAGAATTGATAATATGCCTCCTTATGCAGAAATTCAACCTAAATCTCAAAATCTTTTGGAACTAGAAGAGGAAATCATTATTCAGTATATAATTGATATAGATTCGAGAGGTTTTGTATCTAAACAAAAGGGAATGGAAGATATGGCGAATCATATTTTTGAATTTTGAGATATAAAAAGAGTTGGAAAGCTTTGGGCTTATCGATTTATTAAACGTTATATAGAGCTAAAGATATGTTTAAATGTGTTTATAACTTTCAAAGAGCTCTTTGCGAAGATCCTACATTTATTGAAAACTGGTTCCGATTTATATCGAATATACAAGCGAAATATAGTATTCTCGATTGCGATTTATGGAATTTTGATAAAACAGGCTTTATAATGGGAATGATAAATACTGGTATAATTGTTACTGATACTGAAAGATATGGCAGAAATAAAGCTATACAGCCAGACAATCGAGAATGAACTACAGCAATTATATACAGCAATAGTAAGGGGGATACTATACCTTCATTTCTGATAGTTCAAGAACAGATACATCTTTCCAATTGATATACAGAAACCAATCTTCCTGCAGATTAGATTATTAAATCTATAAGCAATAAGTAAACGAATAATAAAACAGGATTAGAATGATTGAAATACTTCGATAAATATATAAGAAATCGAACTAAGGGCAAATACAGAATACTAATACTGGATGAGTATAAAAACTATAAATTAATATCATTCCAGAACTATTGTAAGAAAAATAATATTAAATATATATGTTTACCACCGCATTCAAGTCATTTAATCTAGCCTCTTGATATTGAATGCTTTAATACCTTAAAACAAGAGTATGGTATACAAATTGAAGGATTTATAAAAACATATATCAATTATATTTCAAAAGTCGAATTCTTTATAACTTTCAAAACTGCATATCAACAATCAATTACGAATCAGAATATGAAATCAGGGTTTCGAGGAGCAGGATTAGTCCCATTCGATCCTGAAGTAGTGCTTTCTAAGTTAGATATTCGAATCCATATACCTATTCCTCCTCCTCCCAATTCAGAATCTTAGATCTTTTAAATACCTTACAATCCTACAAAAACACTCTTTCAATCAACACTAATTAAATTTCGAATAACTTGTTATTAATCGAACTCTCCTACACCTTTATTTAAAACTATACTAATTTTAGCTAAAGGTATAAAGAGATTAGTATATAAGAATACACTTTTGAGTGCAGAGATTTATATACTTCGAAAAGCAAATGAGATATTAAGTAAATATCGATACACAAAAAAAACCCAATTACATTAAGGAGGAATATTTATTAGATAGGAAGCTGTAAATATATTATCTCAATAAAAGGTTGATATCCAAATTCGATATAATAGGTATCAAAATGGAGGAAATTCTAATATGGAGGTATTCTCTAGTCGATGTTGTAGCAAGTGTGGAAAGACAGATTATAATACAAGAACCTGTAAAAATGATATAATAGATTCTAGATTATTAGATTTATAATAGCTTTAATCAATTGATTCAAAGATTATTAAGAAATATGAATTTGAAAGTGTAAATTGAGGTGAAAGTGGGCTATCCACTGATATGGGCCACGCACTGATAAACCACGTTATTCAAACTTGACAATCTCAAGCCCACTTTCTCTGCTCTGAAGCTCCCAATTCTTCAGAAACATTTTTAGACGTTGATGATCCTTTAATCTGAATTGTACAGTGTTGATCAAATAACCTAGGCCATGTATAACTGCTTGTGCGTCAATTACTTCATCTCGGTCATTCTATCTCAGCTACTCTATATAACCAATACTTCGCAGAATTTTCTTAAATTCATATGACGCAGACAACTTTAGCGAGAAAGGAACCAAGACTTGGAAGGCACCGAACGAGATAATTGGTTCTGATTATGGGCCGGAGATTGGAATGGAGCTTGAACAAGTGACAGAGGAATCGACAATCATGAAAGTTAATTATTAACATATTAAGGCATTTTCAACTATCGTATCTCGCCCAAATACATGAGTTCATATCGAGAAATGTAGTGCATAAGCTCCATGTTCAAGCTCAACCCTGTTGCCTTGCTCGGCCCACTCCTTATCACCTGAATGCTGTCTGCAAATCAAAACATGACAATTATCCTTGGGCAAAACGACCGTAGCTGTTGATCCAACGGGTACACTTAACTTCATCTCAATCCCACTACCTATCTTACTCCAACTCAATCCAATCATCCCATAAGGGCTCTCAAACTCTCCTTCCACAGTACTAAACTCGCTATGGTAATCAGGAGCCACAGTGAAAGTTCTCCATCCCTTCTCCCCAACCTTCAAGCCCAAGACATAGACATAAAACCACTCCAAAATACTCCCCAACATATCATGACACTTACTCCTACATTCATCCTGCCAGAACTCAAGTAGAGTAGTTTCTCCTCTATGTAAAAAGCGCATGTAACTAGGATGTTCCTCCTGTCTCGCCATTTGCAGAACTAAATCAGATCGTCCTAAATCTCCAAGCGTGTTAAAGAGATACCTCAGACCGATTTCTCCAGAGCGCAATTTGCCATCCGAGACATCGGAGAGAAATGATGTTTGGACGGCAGAGATGTGCGCTTCGGGAACCATATTGAATTGGAGAGCGAGAGCTTGACATACAGCGTCACAATCGCGATTGGGGTAGTCGTCCCGAGATGTATAGTAAGCGTGGGCACGAGATGGATCGTCTGTTACTAACAAATGCTTGTTATACACATCATGAATTCTCTTTGCTTCTCTCTCCCAACTCTTTTTCTCATCGTCTAATTTTAAGTGCGAAGCAAATCGCGACATGCAGAGTAGACCTTTATGATATATTGCTGTTTCAATATTTGCTTGTGCATTTCCATGCGCGATTCCTCGACCCCAATCTCCAAGACCGTGTTCGATTAATCCACCAAAACGCTCTTTGCCTTTTATATAGGCCATGTATCGTTCGCCTGCTCGGTACATCTTGGCAATAGATTTTGTGGTTACATAATAGCGTTGGAGAATGTCGGGGATGAGGATGAGTGCGCAGCCCCATGTGATTGTGTCGTGCAAGGGACCACACATATATCTCATTTCGGGCGCCATGTTAGGGATGAGACCTGATCGCTCCTGGGCATCCAGAATGTCGTCTAGTATCTTTGTGTAGAGAGATTCCATGTTCCACATGTATTGTGTAGCCGGTGCTAAAAGATGAGTGACTTCAAGCCACGCGAACTTTTCAATTTGAGGGCAATCGGTTTGGTAACTGAAGAGTTTACTCGAGAAAGTCCACTTCAATGCCGAAAGAAGGGCATTGACGTCTTCTTTGTCGGTTTTCATAGTTCCTAGTCTTGGAGAAGCGGACGATACGTGTCTGCCACATACAGAGTGCAGTAGCGGCAATTTCGATTCCGTATCTTTCGCATTGCGTACATCTTCAATCTGTATATATCTCGCACTCGTGAAACAAAAATCAGGCGTCCAATGTTCCTTACCATCTGTTCCAGCAAGGATGATTTCGAGTACACTTTCGTCTCGAACTCCTTGAATAATGGATCTGGCATACAAATTGTGCCATCTTCATATGTCGTTTCTCCATATCTGATTATTATTTCGCTTCCAGCTTCCCCCTCAACCTCGATCTCAGTCATGACAGATGAGTTTTGCCCCAAATCAAGACAGATAGTTCCGGGCCGTGGAGAGGTTTCCTTGATTGGCGTGAAAGTTTCATGAAGGACAACTGGTGGTTGACTCTGATATTTTAGAGCGCCTCTTGGGCCTGTCAGCCCTTTTGCCGGTTCCCATGAACTATCATCAAAGCCTAGTGCATCCCAACCTATCGGGTATAGGCGGCGATCATGAGTTTCGGACGCATAAATATTTGCTAATAGAGTTGCACTGGGTGCAACCTTCCATTGGTCGTCCGAGATCTCAACATGTGATCCATCTTCGTAAAAGAGATGCAGTTCGGCGAAAAAGCATAGCTCATTTCCATAACGAACGTATGTATTATCTTCATACTTTGGCCAAAAGAACCGGTCCCCTTGATCACCAGCATAGAAACCATTCCCAATATGTGCCCCAAGCACATTCTCTCCAACCGAAAGTCGCTCCGTAACATCATGAGCTACGTACTGAACGGTCGTATGATAATCCGTCCATCCTGGATCAAGTACATGATCTGAAGCCGCTTGTCCATTCACTCTAAGCTGGTGATGTCCGAGTCCACAGACAAAGGCAACAGCTCTCGTCGGTTTTCGTTCGAGCGTGATGGTTTTGCGAAGATAAAGGGGCTTTTCTCCCCCGTCGCCAATCCACCATGCTTTTCATTTATTGTCCACATCTTCAAACCAGGTACGAAAGATTAATGCCGTATGAGGCATATAAGTTTGATTCATACTCAGAGGAGGAAGATGATCGGACCGTGGATAGGCAGTAAAGAAGTCGCTACTCTTTTCGCAGGTTTCTCCATGCTGATTCCATGATGTCACCTCCCAGACGTAGTAGGTGCAGCTTTCAAAACCACCTTGAGGTTCGCATCGAATATTTCTTTGTTGTGACCCATCACACCGCCCTCAGTCCCAGAAGACTTCTCCAGAACTAGATCCCTTGCGTACGATGACTTGATAGGCATCTTGCTTCTCTCCTTCACGATCGCTTTCGAGCTTCCAGTGAAAAAGTAAGACATCGCTATCAATGCTTACTGTCTCATGAAAGCCATGAATACCACAAGATGAGATCTTCATTTTAGCCGAAAATCAAGTCAGGTGTTGTCGTATAAGTATAATTTGAATCTCTTCGACACCGCAAAATCTCAAGACCAACAACTCAAAAAAGCTTAATCGTCAGCTTCCCAGCAGATTAATATTTCACACTTTCAAAAGAACCCTCATAACATATCTCGACTTTCCGAAAGCTGAAGCCGTCGTTCATCGTTGGTTGATAGTGGACGCGAGATGTCGGGTCAATAAACGGCAAGCCCCACACCTCGCTTCCACTCTACATTTTGCGGGGACGGGACAAGTTCGGGCTGGGGCTGATGACAATAATGCTAATAATGACTATTGAGTGGGAAAGGAGGAAAGTGGAAAAAATTCACCTGAGATGAGGTGCTGGATTCCACTTAGAATTGCAACGCTTGTTATATTAATCGAAGTTGAGTTGGAGAAGTTGTTCTCGATTCCATCTGCTACTATTTACCGACAAGGTACGAAGGGAGCGTCAAGTAGTAGAACAATGAGAAAAACGGGAAATATCATTATAGAATTTCACAATTGATATGGTCTACAGATGCACTAAATAAGAGATCGTGTAGAACAACTATCATTCTGATTATATGCTGTGAGAACGTATGGATGACTATATAATTTTCTCTCTGATGCGTTTGGACTTCTTGAAAGGCTAGAATAATCACGAAACATTTTCATCATGTGTAAAAACACCTTTCTCGTTCATTGCAGTTCTCGCAGCTTCTGCGCCAGTGGGATCCTCCAAGGCATGAGGAACCAATTGATCACCAAATAGTTCGTCCATCTGCTCAAGTGTTTTGCCCTTGGTTCTATACAACAAGTCAGTTTTTACCATAATTTTAGATCACAGAGGTAAGAATACGTACTCTGGGTAGAAGATTCAATAGCATGCTGCTGCAAGAATATTAAACACAAAAAAGACGTAGAAAAATTTGAATCCGATATTGTCGAGTGCTAATGGTCCAGTTTGGCCCAGAAGAAGACCAAGACACCAATTTGTCAGGGTTGAGATAGAATTTCCACGAGCTCGAATTTCCACGGGGAAAATTTCGGCAGGGTAGACCCAACTGATAATTCCAGTGAATGTATAGAAGAATGAGAAGACAAGGTTCATGGCCACCATTGCTCGTAATGCATTGGTATTGGTTGATTGCTGTCCGCCGACAACATAATATTGACTGAGAACTGTGTTGACCAACAGAGCCAATGCGCAACCAGTGGCCGAGAAAACCATTGGTTTGACTCTTTCAAGTCTTTCCAAAAAATATAAACCGAGTGCACAGTAAACAATGGAAAGAGAGCCAGAGATGCCGATGATCATGAGGGAAGTGCGAGTGTCAATACCCAAAAGACTGTAGATGGTGACTCCGTAGTAGTTGATAACGTTAATGCCTGATAGTTGACCCCATGCTTGGATTCCACATCCCAGAATGATTCGATGTCTCCATGATTTTTTCGCGACGAGTCCGGACCATGATTTAACTGCTACTGTCTTTTCTGCAATGATTGTGTCTCGAATTTCAGCAAACTCCAGTTCCAAGTACTCGTCGTTTGAACCATCGCCGTGTAATTTGTAAAGAGCCTCACTCGCCTCTTCTTGTCTATCCTTCTCCATCAACCATCGAGGAGATTCTTGCAAAAACCAAGTTCCGATGGCTAGGAATAGACCAGGGACAACCTGGAATTCAAGGGGAAGCGCCATTGAAAACTAGACGTGGTATAGTTGCATCCGTATCCGATCCATTGAGCTGCGAAATATCCCCATGAAAGCATGAATTGTAAAAGTCCACTCAAAGCGCCACGATATGAAGCTTCAGAAATTTCCGAACAGTACATTGGAACTAGAGCTGAGAGAATACCAACAGCTATACCGGCAATCGCACGACCTGCGATAAGCATGCCAACATTGGCAGCACCAGCTTGAAGTGCACACCCAAAGGCAGATATGGCACCTCCGAGCGCAATGGTCTTCTTCCTTCCTAAACCATCTGCCAGCCATGAGATCGTGAGTGCTCCTAAGATCGCACCGCCAGTGAAGGAAGAAACCACTCCGCCCTCGGTCGATGAATCTAGTTCTCCAAAGTATGAAATGAATTCTGGCTGCCCAATTGTGGAGGTAACAATACCACTATCATAACCAAAGAGGAAACCTGAAAGAGATATGTCAGAAAATGTCTGTCCTCGTAGTGATTCAGAACATTGTTTAATTTACCTCCGATCGACAGGAAAAGACCTGTGCCAATAGTCACCGCCTTGCCCATTGTCGGCTATCAAGAGAGCTCCTTGTAAAGCAGATACTTCTTGGTGTTGTCTCGGAAAATGTTATCAGAAGGTTTCCTTGCTACCTCGAGATAAGTCTGCAAGAACTACTGCCAGAGCTATAGAGAATATGCTTTGCATTAAGTAGCGAACATTTCTCATTTTGAGAGCATTAATTCTGGTTAGATTCTCACACCGCTGCTAGTGCCACAGTCTTGGACATAACCAACATAACGCTCTATCAACCGGCATCCATTTACGGGACACTACCGTTACATTTCGTACAAATAGAAGCCGAAAGATAGCACCTTATGCCAAGAATACCACGGTATCATAGAGTCCCCAATACCTGGGGGCTGGAGTTGGCGGGGTGCATATCCACACCACTTGATACGCTAATTCAGGCTCTGGAGTATGGAGAGTGGGGTTTGTATGGGGTTGTTATGCTGCGATGTTCTAACGATGGTCTAGGACGCATATCTTGGTAACTTCGCAATTCCAGCATTTGAGACCGAGATGGTGGACGAGGTGGAAATCAGAAGTCCCTCTTGTGTCACTACCTAGTAAGCAGAGAAGTGGGGCGGTCGTGGTTAGGCGAGTGTGTGGTGTGGGGATGTGGCTAGAACAACCATATTTGTTTGTCGTGCTACACTATTGCAACCTTGCCATTATATGTACCCACAACCTGTCTGTTCAATTGATATAGATATCGAATGCAATACAAGTCATCATGCTAAAGCTAACGTACATTTGCCATATGCCCATATTTTCATCATCAATTCAACTGGGCCTCAACGAAGATACATATGTTGCCCTGAACCCCTGCTACCTATCAATGGTATATTTATACTATGATTCTGACGTACTCATGAAGTCCTGATTAAGTCTCATGAGAATCATTGATTTCATGTAACGAGAGTGTACACTCGCATATGATGGATGGGTCGAGACCGCTTCCTCTTTCGTCGATTCCTACATACCGAAATTGTTACGAGGAGCGTCCACTTACTTTCCTTCATCTAGGGTCCATCATTCAGACTTTCCCCATATTTATCCCCATCTTAGAGATCTCGTTCTTCAGAATCTTGCAACGCTGCTGAACAAGTTACCTCATTTTCAATATCCACCATGCCAACATCCGACATTCCACCGGTATCATAGTTCCTCACCAGCTGATCATGAAAATCTAGTGCTGGTGCAGCTTGGTGATCAATTCCTTCATCTGGTATATTGAAATTCACACACTTGTGAGCCTCTGAAACGCATTATCATTGAATACGAACAGCGTTCCACGGACATTCCTACTTCTATTACTGTTGTAGAACAAGTCTTTCTGGACCTTTTATTTCCCAGTGAAGAGCCACGAGGAATCCCAGGCCACCCTGTTATGTGTTCTTCTGCTTGACAAGACTGCATTCTGTCTAAGGTGCTAGATTGTGTGGATGGAGAAGCAATTATGACAAACAATGTCTACTAACCTAGTGCCTTTGCTAATGCTATTATGGTAAATGTATGGCTTAGGGTTGTCCACTATCTTTGATGCACTTTTAATTAAGCATAGGTAAAGAACAACAAGCTTGAGCTTTGAATTCGACAGTTCCATCATTTGCTACTCGCATTGGAACCGCAGACGAAGCTCGATCGCAGAACGGCATTCTTTGGGTTATATATCACCTTAGTCCCCCGGTCGAAGTGTCAAAGTTCTCAAGCTCTTTGAGGAGCAAGTACATCTTCTCTATAGCATATGTTCTTGCATGGCCCTGTACCGACACCGGTTATCGACATGCGATAAACAATGAATTCAATGGCCTATAAAACCATTCCACTGCACTGTTGCATCAAGCTGTCAGTTGTAATCACGTTGAATTGCGGTGCAAATTTTCGAAAAGCTATGCAATCGCGAGTTTGGATCTCTGTGTCAGATTGTCTTGATCTTCGACTAGAGTTGGCACTTCGACAATGAAGAATCACCTGGAAATCTGAAACACGAGACCTACCGTTGAATCAAAAGGGATTGCAACGCAATCATAGTCTAGGAATACAAGATTTATGGATTTCATGGGGTAGGGAGTAGGCAAAGACGCAAAATTATTTTGGGTGTTGCCATATCAGACAATGGGCATTTTGGGCTATGATCTCTCAAGCAAGCAATGCAAGCAGCACAGCTATATTTCTAGATGAAGAAATTTCCCTAACTGCAGAATTGTGTTAAGGAGAAAAAATGGTAGGAATTGGAAATCACTGCTGCAGAGCTATTAATTCTCAATCACATCTACATTCAATGCAATGGCAACAAGCTACCCCTGCCATGCCGACAGCATCGTCACCACGCACTCACCAACATAACACCAACTTAACACCAACACAACACCAACAAATTCGCGTCTTACCAACTCAATAAATAAACACACCATCATCCCACAAACTTATTCTGAGATTCCCTAGTCTCTGAAACGCTGTGTCGAAAATCTGCCACGATTAGACTAGGAGTGCCACAAACCACCCTTCAAGCTCAATCTCCCTTCTGCAGATTGAAATTCGCCATGGGTGTCACCTTTTCACAATTCTTCCCCCCCACTACCACTCTGACGGAGAAAAACTTACCCAGTCAAACGGGCAAGGTCTTCATCATCACAGGTGGAACATCAGGCGTCGGTCTCGAACTGGCTACTATTCTTTACAGGGCTGGCGGCAAAGTCTACATAGCTGGACGCTCAGAAACCAGCGCTCAAAAATGTATCGAGCATATCAAATCATCATCAACATCCAAATTGCCTGGCCAGCTTGAATTCCTTCCTCTAGAATTGGATGATCTGAATACGATTAAATCATCAGCCGAGTCTTTCATGAAGAAAGAGACGAAGCTCAATGTCCTCTGGAATAATGCAGGTGTTTCGCAACTAGCATTAGGTAGCGTATCTAAACAAATCTTTGAGCTTCAAATGGCCACAAATTGTTTAGGTCCGTTTCTCTTCACTCAGTATCTTCTCCCGTGCCTGAAAGCTGCGGCAAAAGAATCCAAGCCTGGTGCTACCCGTGTGATCTGGACACATTCTCAGTTCTCAGAGCTTACGGCTCCCAAAGATGGAATTATCATGCCTGAACTTGATACTCCCCCCAAAGATCAAGTCAAGAATTACAATAATTCTAAAATCGGCAATTGGTTCTTGGCTAGTGAATTGGCGAAGGAAGTTGGCGAATTTGGGATTTTGAGCGTGTCGCAGAATCCGGGTAATTTGAAGACGAATTTGATGAGAAATGCGAAATCGATGTATTATGCTGCTTGGCCGCTCTTGTATAAGGCGAAGATGGGAGCGTATACAGAGCTTTGGGCAGGATTGTCGGAGGGGTTGAAGATGGAAAATAATGGAGCGTGTGTGGTTCCTTGGGGACGGATACACCCGGGCCCAAGAGGGGATTTATCGCTTGCTTTAAAAGGTTCTAATGAAGGAGGAAGTGGGACAGCAAAGAAGTTCTGGGATTGGTGCGAAGGAAAGACTGCAGAGTACAGATAAAGGACGCCTCTGGAAAATTCTCCATGATTGAATTATCGAATTCCAGATTGTCAAAGCTTATCGTTTAATATATATCCTCTTCAAAATTACAAAAGCGTCACTAGAAAACTCCTAGGGTGAAAATTTGTGTTCATTATCGTTCCCGAGTAAAATTTGCTTCCAAAGTCCGGAAGAGATCTGCATCAAGTTTAGACTATGGATATATCTCTATTGAGTTGGTTTGCGTGCGAATTTCCGTGTCAGCAGGTTGCAGATTTCAAATGGAATTCCAACCGATCAACAGCCTGCGCCGCAGATACTTGCACACAAGTCAGTCCCGAGTGGATCTTACCAACATCAAACCAACGTCTAGCTCTGTTGCTTAAATCAAAGATCTGAATCCTAATTTATATGTGGAATCAAACTTGGGCTATGGAACTTCCAATTATCACTTTTGATATAATACTCTTGGGACGCTGGATCTAAGCTCAGTCTAAGGAACCACATCCTCCTTCGTCCTAGTAGCAATGTTTTTTATAATCCAAGAAATCATTTTTCAGTAGGAACACTACATTCTGTCAACCATTCTTTACAACCTGACTATCCATCTTCTTCCTCACATCTCTTGTCCTAAAACCAAGTCTTCCTCTCGTCTCCCTCTCGCATCCCCTTAATCATCTCCCTAACTCGCGGAGTCTTAGTCCGCACTAAACACGAATCTATCCTCTGCATCACTCCTAATGAACTATCCTTTTCTCTCCCCTCTGCCTGGAATGATATCTTCACAACCCAACCCAACTATCTCCCTTTCCCAGAAGATCCAGTATAGTGAAACCTTCCATTCAATCAACTCAAATCCCTCATCAGCGGCCCTCCCACAGCCCGTGCAGGTATGAGAAATAAATGAATTCCCGCCTTCACTCCGCGTTCTCAACCCCCAAGAGCCGTTTCTGCAAAAAAATGTCTCATAATTTGTATGCATCTCCACAATCAGATAAGTTGATGCAAATGACAATATCTACAAGAAGCTAGCCGATCAAACTTCATCTGGTCTAAAGTGCCGGCGGAGAATATCACCAAATGGCTAAGTTGGAGTGTTTCATCTTTATACGCAATTCCATAGAAGGTAGCATCTTCACTGGTAAATTTTGAAATCAATTATGGTCAAGAACTGGAGGTATCGACACTCTAGAAAACAGAACTGTGATTAGTGCTCAAAATAAAGGAAAGCCTTGAAAGGCACTGAAACTACTTGGAATACGTAACAGTCATGAGTTTGGAGATTGAGAAATACACAGACAATACACGAGACCATTGTCTCGACATGTAATTCATCTCAATATGTGAGTGGGAATATGTAGATATTGAATGTGGAATGAATCCTCTAAGGTGACTATCTCTTGTCTCAAAGGTATAATGCCAGCAATCATCACCGATTAATAAAATATGCACCTAGCAATGAAGCTGAACCGTCCAATCTTCGCTCTTGCGAACTCCGATCTACAAAC